TTTGAGAATGACGAGGTTTAAGGCCCTGATCCTGCATCTGTGCTATCTGGCCGGAATAACCCTCCTCTCCTCTCTCCTCCTCAGCTCTCGCTGACCTCCGCTTGTACAAGATCCTGGCCGGGATGTTCATCGCAGCGCTGGGGGCTATTGTTCTGGCCGTTGCAGTGGTCCTGTTATGGCCCAGGTAACTTGGCTCTTGATGCTTTAGTTCGTAGAAGCAGCTCAAGGGTGTCCAATTGGGGTGGCTCACAAGGGCTGGGAAGGGACGGCTTGTTTTGGGGTGGGTGATTTATTGTTTATTTGATATTACTAAAGCCAGCCCACAAGGAGGGGTAAGTTTTGACCAGGAAAAAGCCTGAAGTGACGTTTATTTGAACAGTCCAAGAGGGAAATTGAGGCAGGCTGCCTGTAGGCCATGAGGGGGCACATGAGAGGCTGCTGGCCTGGTTACAGACTGTGAATCCTTTTGCTGCGGGGTCGCTGGCCAAGCCAGTGGTGAACATGAGTTGTATGACCCACTGCTCAGTGTGTTGTGTCTCCCACTCTACGTGATCCACAGAGGATGTCAGGCTGTTACAGTCCAACCTGAAGAGCTGGTCTCTATAGCAGATGCTGTAGAGACTGCCATGATTAGCTCTGGAAGTCCCTGGTTTGGGCCCTGATGGTGCCATTTGAGAGTTTTTGAGCACCTTGTGCACAATGCCTCACCGGGTCTCAGGCCAGTTCCAGGTGTTGGCATCACAACTGGCCCCCTCCCTGGCAGTCTAAGTGGAGAGGCCAATAACTGAATGGCCCCGGAGAATGGCAGCCCCTCTTGTATCGAGCGTGTGCATTCAGGAGCCGCATCTGACGGAGGGGGGCATTGGTGGTCAGACACCACAATGATGGGCACATGAGAATAGTATCAGGGGGTAGCCGTGTTAGTCTGTATCTACAAAAAACAACAAGGAGTCTGGTGGCACCTTAAAGACGAACAGATTTATTTGGGCATAAGCTTTCGTGGGTAAAAACCTCACTTCTTCGGATGCACAGAGTGAAAGTTACAGATGCAGGCATTATATACTGACACATGGAGAGCAGGGAGTTACTTCGCAAGTGGAGAACCAGTGTTTTCACATGAGAATAACACACTGGCAAAGTGTGTGTCAGACCCCTCGCTAGTGGCGGGTCCGCCACAGGAAAACAGCCTACTACCGCTAGCAGGATTGTTCCTTTAACTCAAGCAGCAGAGGTCGGCTCTTCAGCTCTGGGTTCAGATCCTGCTGATGACCCAAGCAAGGGTTTGCGATGTAGGTGGACAGACGGAACGGCGGGCCTGCTCCTAAAGTGCTAACCCCCCTCGCCTCCTCCCCTGCCTAGGATAACGAAGCTAGCGAAGCCGCTAAAAGACGAAAGCTCCATGGAACTGACCGGCACAAGGGAACAATCGCAGGTGCGATTCCTCAGTGTGGCTGGGTTGGTGCCGGGCTTGGGGCTTGGCCCGGGGGCACCAGAGCTGGGGGTCAGGCCCCCAGCTGCTCAAAGGCGTAAAAGACAGTCTGGCCAACTGAACTGAGAGGCTCTGGCTGCTTTGCTGTTGCCTACAGAGCAGGCCTCGGGCTGGATACTGGGGACATGAGTTCAGGAGAGTGGGACTGATGGGGACGGAGCGGGAAGAGGGGTTAATGCACTGGGGTGCATAAGGAGCTGAAATCCTGGGCCAGCGTTGGGATCAAACAGGATCTGGGTTGAATTTTTTCCAGCCCGCCCTGCCCTGCGCATGCTGGCCTATCAAGAAGGCCTGGGCATGAAAACTGCATGCTCCCCACAGCCTCCCCCATCTCTGTCCCTTCCCCTTCAAGCCTCTGTCTCACCCTCCAGCCCCGATGAGGTATGGAGAACCTTCTCTGTGGGCCTGTCTCCCCATTTCCCCCTGCTACGCTCACCCCTCACCTAGGAGTCTAATTCTTTGTGCCTGGAGCATAGGGGAAGATGCAGTCCATGCTGGGGGTGCAGGAGTTACTTAAGGACTAGATCCTCAGCTGGTACAACTCGACTTAGCTCCATTGGCTTCAGGGCAGCTGTGGGCATCGACTGGCCCGTTGACGTCGGTGGATCTCTGCCGATCGGCACCCGCTGGGGATCTGGCCCGCTGACGTCCATGGAGCTCTGCGGACGGGCGCCGGCTGGATGTTGATAATTTAACCCCGCTGGCTAGGAAGAATGCTGGGCGAGGGTGGGAAGTCACACTCCCATTCCCCGGGCTGGCAGAGCTGAGGGCGGGTGGGTCCAGTGCCGGACGCTATGCAGAGGGAGTGCTCGGAATAGAAAGGCGGAGCGACCCCTGCAGGAGGGTCAAAGATAGGCAGAGGGGCAGGATTGTAGCTCAGCAAGTCGGTGCCACTGTCTATGGCCCCTGGTCCGTTTCTGGTACCAAAGATAACAGAGACCCGTGTTTGGTGCGTGGCCGGGGATCGTGCACTTGGGAGCTTGTCCCACAGGCTGATTTGGGGCTCTGGGGTTTTTCCCAGCCAATTCCAACCAGGAGGGGTTGTGTAACTTTTCCAGGTTGACGACACCTCCTCGACCAACAGATAACCACGCCGCCTGGAGCAGCCTGCATGGCAGCCGCACTGAGACTCCCCTTGCCCGGCTGGACCCGGGCAGCGAAGTTGTTCTCACCCAGTGGCACATTTTTAGTGCTTGCCACACTTGGTACGTCGCATGTGTCAAATGCAGGACCACTGTCAATACCCGGAACTGAGCCCGGGCTGTGAAAAATCCCAGGCTGTCTCCCTCCACAAACCCACGACATCCGGAGCACCCTCATCTGTGCCCTGTGACTCCGCCAAGCCCCCACGTTTGCAATAACCTCCCGGCGTGCTGCCAAGCAGCTCATCAGTCACAAAATAAACCAAGGAGCAAAGTGTCAGTGTCACAAATGTTCAAAAGTACAACGCCTCTGGGCCTGATCCTGTGTGAGGGGAAGGCAGCGGGGGAGCTCCCCCTTGATAGCACAGATGCAGGATCAGG